GGGAAGTCCAGGGCTCGTGTTCCAGAATGCAAAGGTGGTCCTTTCCCACACATAAGTGAATTTCGGACGCTCGGCACGAGGCGAGCCACGGTGTGAAAACAGGTAATGATAACTATTATCCTTGCTTCCGATGTTTCTGAGGCCCTCTGTGAGCCTGGCCTTGTGCAGAGCCCTGAGGACCTGCAATGATGGGGGGTGGGGGATGTCTCTTCCCACAGGCTTCCCATGAGTCCTGACCCCACGGGAGGTGGGGTGCAGGTGTGGTAAGAGGCACACCCCACTCCGGCAGGCAGGGGGTGAACCTCCCAGCCAGTCGGCTGCCGGCTGCCAGCTCCCAGGGCGTTCTCTGCCCACGTCTCTCTCTCACCTCTAGGATCAGCTGACAAAGAAGCTTTCCCACAGCCCATGTGGCCCTTGGGCACCTCCGCCAGAGCTGCGGGTCCCTGCGTAGGGGCCTGAGGGCAGGTGGTGCACTGTCAGGCAGGGGGCCGTGGAAAGTGGCCGAGCCCATGGTGAGTGGGAGCAGCCCCTCCCAGCTGGGAGGGGTGCGTGGTCTGGGCAGGTGCAGCCTGGCGCCAGAGGGCCAGAGGGCAAAGAGAACTGCGGGTGAGGAACTGGGGGCAGCTCCTGGGGACCTGGCAGAGGAAGCAGGACCTGACGGCTATTTGGAAATGAAACAGGCCGGGGAAGTGAGCAATCCCAGGGCGTTTGGAAAGACTCCGGCCTGAGGTTGCACCTGTGAAATACCTTGACCAAGAAAATCAGACACTCCTCTGATGTCATTTTACAAATGGGGTCTCTGAGACCAGACCTGCCCGACCACGCTAGGTGGACTCAGGCCTCCTGACCCCTTGCCCTGAGGGGGCCCCTTCCATTGAAAACATCTTTAAGAAAGAAATACTATGGGCTAGGTCCCGGCCGGGTACTAGGCTCACCCACCAAGCCAGCCCAGTCCCTGCGCCAGGGACAACAGACAAGGGGGCAGCAGCTGCCACAGGAGACAGGATGGCAGAGGAGGCCCGGCCGCCACGTGCCCCAGTGCCCCGTGAGAGGTGGGCATTCTGGATGAGGGACAGCCTGGCCGGGCAGGCAGGGAAAGCCCCCACAGTCCCCACCCTGGCAGCTTCCAGAAACCTCCACAAGGTGGGCTTGGCTGGAACCAGGTGACCCGGAGGTTACGGGGCTCAGATTACGGAGCGTGTGGGCAGCTGGGAGAGCCTCTCAGGGAGAAAGGAGCCACGAGAGAGGCTGAGCGTGGATGAGGCGGGAGCAAGGGGGCGATGGTAGAGGTTGGGTGGCCTAGAGCAGGGGGTGGCAGTGGGGGCCATGAGACTGTGGGGTACCAGGCATATCTTTAAGGTGGAGCCCATCTTTAAGGTGGGATCTACTTGGGACCAGCAGATGGTATAGCAGTTATGTCACTGGCTGCACCCTGGGGAAACAGCCAGGTACACATGCCCAGGGTCCTGACAGCCCAGGGAAGCAGCCAGGTGCCAGCCTGTGGTCCTGACTGATGGGGAGGGCCTTGGGTACACGGCAGGTGCCAGCCTGTGGTCCTGACTGACGGTTCAGTAAACAGGTGCAGGTGCCTATGGTCATGGCTAGCCGGGAGGCTGGGGCAGGTGGATACCAACGTGGTGAGGACTTGTCAAGAATACCTCTCTTGGGACCAGCAGTTAGCATAATGGCTATGTTGCTGGACTCCTATGTAGTCAACTGCGGTTCAAGTCCCAGACCCGGTGGTTTAAACTCATGCCGGGCGCGCATGTGTGCGTACCCAAGATCCTGAGAGGAGAATGGAGGAGAAGAGATTGTGGTGTGGCCATTCCCCCTGGGGGGTGATTTCTCACTTTCTGTCTCTCTGGCTAGCTGGCTGGCTGGTGAGCACACGTGCCCTACAGCAAAAACCTCTAAAAAAAATAAATAAAAAATAAATAAATAAAAAGTTTTCAGGATTTTGGACATGCATGCACACATGGCCGGCATGATTTTTAAGCCACCAGTCCAGGACTCAAACCGCACGGCCATGTGAGATACTGCCAGCCTAGGACCAGCAGATGGCGAAATGGTTACATCGCTGGACTCCATGTAGTCAACTGTGGCTGGAGTCCCAGACGCGGCAGCTTAAAAATCATGCCTGGCGCGTGTGCATGTGTGTGCAAGATCCTGAGAGGAAAATGGAGGAGAAGGGACTGCGGCATGGCCATCCCCCCCTGGGGTGGAGGGTGATTTCTCTTTCTGTCTCTGTTTCTCTCTGTCTCTGGCAAGTATACCCTATAGCAAAAATCTCCCTTAAAAAAAGAGAGAGATATACAGCCACTCTAACCTCCACACCAGCCTCTGGCCCACTCTGTCATTTTTTAAACCTCTTTGTTAGATTTAATTTAGGTCCCTTTTTTTTATTCGTGTTCTTGCTATTGTAAATGTCATTCAAAAATTTGTTTTCATTTTCTAATTGGTGGTGTGTACAAATACATGACTTTAGTATATGCATCTAATAACCAGAAAACTTATTGAGCTTTTATTAATCTCGTCATTTTCTTTAGATTCTTTTTGGTGTTTGTTCTGTTTTAGGTTTTAGCCACAGGGTGCGAACTGAGGTTGGCCGTGTGGTAGTCCAGCGCCTTAGCCACCATGCCACTGCTGGCCCCTCCTTAGGGTTTTCCCTATGGAAACCTGTGGCCCAGGGATAACAACAATTTTTCCTTTCTCTTCGCCCTGTCCTATTAGGTCGTCAGGAAAGTCATGACATATTTTTCTATTTTTCTATGCAAAAACGCGTCCTGACTCTCCTGGCAACCCGATAGTAACCTTTTCCTTTAACAACGTGCTGGCTGGGACCCCTGTTAGAAGGTTGGACAGAAGCTCACGTGCGAAGGGATAGTGGCTTCTCTCGTCTCATTTCAGACAGAGCAGAGTTTATAGCTTTTTTTATAGACTTTTGCTAAAGGGTACATGCACATGCCAGAGAGAGAGACAGAAAGCAAGAAACCCCCTCCAAGCCGGGATGGCCACACAGCAATCGTTTCTCCTCTACTCTTGGGATTTGGGCACGCATGCACATGTGTCCAGCATGTGTCTCAAGCCACCGGGTCCAGGACTCGAACCACAGTCAACTACGTGAGAGTACAGCAACATAACCATTGTGTCATCTGCTAGTCCTGAGAGTTTTTATCTTTTTTTAATTATTTATTTAACTTTATTTATTCATTCATTTAAATTTTTTTAATTTGACTAGAGAGACACATATAGACAGAGAAAGAGAGAGAGCAGGTGAGAAAGCAAGCCACCAGGTCCAGGACTTGAACTGTGGTCAGCCATGTGGGAGCATACAGCACCTTAATCACCGTGCCACCCGCTGGTCCCAAGAGAGTTTATATGTTGATGCTGAAGCTACAAAAAGGCCTTCACAAGCAATCATTCAAATTACTCACATTTTAGAGCTTAAATACCAGGCAGGAGACTCCGCTCTTCTAACCTATTTGGCTATGTGGGTGGGCCCAGGCAGGGACACGCCCCCTCCTTCCTCTCTGCCCCACCCACCACACCAGGGGCTCTGAGACTTGTAGTGGGCGGGCTGCCCTGGGCTGCCTTTTACTCTTTAACCGGTTTCCCCAGAGCCTAGTTGGAAGTCCAGAGCTGTCTCTCCAGCCCTGACAGCAAGAGGTGTTAGGGTCCCGACTGGGGTAATCAGATTCAGTAAAAGAAATCAAAAACCTAACGTCCGGGTAAGTACAAATTTTAGACACGCAATAAACATATGTTGGGTATAGCATACTAATTTTAGTATACTTCTACTAAAAATAGAGTAGTTTATCTGAAATTCAGATTTAACTGATGTCAACCTGAAGTAAGAGGGGTCTAACAAAAAGGCTGACTCCATTGCCGGGTGGCTGGGGGAGCCAGATGCCACATGGGTGGTCATGGTTCGAATCCCAGCCCTGGTGGCTTGAAAAACATACCAGGTGTGTGTGCGCACATGCCCCAGATCCCAACCGGAGGGAGAAATGGAGAAGGGACTGTGGTGTGACCACACCCCATGGGGACTGCTTCCTCCCTGTCTCACTGTCTCTCTGTCTCTCTCTAGTGCATGCCATACCCTCCGGCAATTAGGAAGAGAGAGAGGTCTGACCCAACACTTGTCAAAAAAAGAAATCGGCATTTTCTGCCAGCACAGAATGGGAGGATGGCCAGTCACGAGGCAAGGGCTGCAGGAGAACAGCAGCCAGCGGTCCAGGTGGCGGCGCTGGGGGTGTTCTATAGGAGAAGTGGGGAGAGGGTAACGGTCGCAAAAGGCGCTTCTGAGAGTTTCCAGCATGCACTTTCGCTGGCTACAGATTTCTTTAGGGTCAACATCTTCTGACCACAGGACCCCGTGCCATCTCAGTACACACGTGAGTTAATGTGTAGCTTAGATGTGGCCACCTAGCCTTGGGCAAGAGCCCCTGTATTTGCTTAGACAGATCACCCGCCCTGGGTAAACCTGACTGAAATCTCATGACCACGTACCTCTGGGGCCTAGTTGGTATTAAAGTGAGTTACGGAGACCAGCAGATGGTGTAATGGTTATGTCGCGGGACTCCACGTAGTCGACAGTGGTTCGAATCCCAGACCTGGTAGCTTACAGCCTCACGCCGGGCGTGTGTGTGTGCATGTGTGCCCAAGATCCCGAGAGGAGAATGGAAAAGGGATTGCAGCGTGGCCATCCACCCTAGGGGGTGATTTCTCGCTTTCTATCTCTCTGTCTCTCTCTGTCTGTCTGGCGAGCACACGCGTCCTATAGCAAAAACCTCTCCAAAAACAAAAAAACAGGCCGTGTGTGTGTGTGTGTGTGTGTGTGTGTGTGTGTGTATGTACACACCCAAAATCCTGAGAAGAGCATGGAGGAAAAGGAATTATGGTGTGACCATCCCCCTTAGGGTGGTTTCTCACTCTCCCTGTCTCTCTGTCTTTGGTGAGCACATGTGCCCTACGGCAAAAAATCTTTTTTTTTTTTGGAGAGGTTTTTGCTATAGGGGAATATGCGCTCACCAGACAGACAGACAGACGCCCGGCATGAGTTTAAGCCACCGGGTCCGGGACTCGAACCACAGTCAACTACGTGCGAGTCCAGCATTAGGGTGGTTTCTCACTCTCCCTGTCTCTCTGTCTTTGGTGAGCACATGTGCCCTACGGCAAAAAATCTTTTTTTTTTTTGGAGAGGTTTTTGCTATAGGGGAATATGCGCTCACCAGACAGACAGACAGACGCCCGGCATGAGTTTAAGCCACCGGGTCCGGGACTCGAACCACAGTCAACTACGTGCGAGTCCAGCAACAGCCATTACGCTAACTGCTGGTCCCCCAAATCTTTTATTTTTAAAGTGACTTAGCATTTAATTTTCTTCATCATGAAGTGCACATTCAAGTAAGACAGTTTCACCTGCCCACATACCCGGGCCCTGCTCACAGCACGGTCACAGCTGAGGCGGCCTCGCTGAACCGCCTGTCCCTGATGTTCTCTGCCCAGGCTGTGCCAAACACGTCATTTTCAGAACAGTAATCGGTTAGGCCAGCCCCATGGCCCAGTGGTTAAGGGCACCACGTCCAGCATGGCCGAGTGTATGGTTTGAATCCTGGCCCGAGTGGTTGGGAAAAGACGCACAGGTGAACCTGCCCTACCCTAGAGGAGGCATGGAAAAGGGACTTCAGAATGGCCAGGCCCCACCGCGAGGAGCGTTCTCCCTGCACGCCTGGCTCTCTGCCTCTCTTCACACATCCTCTGGCAAGAAAATAAAATAAGAAATACATCATTTATACTTACCTTGTTTTGCACCATTGTCAACAAAACTATGAAAAACAAACTTGAAACACGTAAAGGAGGGAGAGACTGCACAGAAGCCGACTCAGAGGAGGACATTGCCCACTGTGGGTCTTCCACTGTCAGGGCGAGGGCAGGCCCTGGGGCCTGTGAAGTCTGCCTGGGGGACCTGGGGGCCACGCGGGGCTCCGGTCTGGGTCTTCTGGTCCCACTCTGGCCGCTCCCGTGGCTGCCCCCACGGCCGGGCTGGGGAGGGGATCCGTTGGCCAGTCCACAGGCCTCAGTAGTCTCCCGGCCTCACATTGGTTCTGGGTTGTTCATTTTATGAGGGGACATCAGAAAGTTTGTGAGAAAATGTAAATAAACTACAAATTTATTTCTGTGCAAACAAGTGAGAAATCCAAGCACCCTAATGACACCAGGTAGTGTCTTCCGACCAGTCACCTCTTGGACGGACGCCGGCCTGTGCGGCTAGCCCGAGGGGGCCTCCCTCCTGCCCATGGGACCCGTGGGGCTGGTGCACACCCCGGACAGCAGCCAGGGTGCTGAGTGGGTGTCAGGCCCGAGAAGCCACCAGTTTCCTCCGTTCTGGCAGCCCCACCCATTACGCAGGGCTGCAAGAGTGGCCTTTCGGGGCCAGCAGGTGGCGTGGTGGTTGGGGCGCTGGACACTCCCACATGGCGGACCACGATTCAACTACGGGACCTGGTGGCTTGCTTTCTCACTTTCCTTCTCTCTGTGTGTCTCTCCCACGTTGTGTCCACCAGGCTCAGCCGCCCTGGCTGGCAGCGCCCCTGCAGCCATGCCCCTGCGTCCTGGAGTGACTGGTCCACAGAGGGCTGAGCCCCAAGGCTGAGCTCCAGACCCCGAGCCCCCGTCCTCCCACTTTCCCCTCCCCACCCCACAGCTGAACGGTGAGAGGCACACAGGAGAGGTAGAAGGGGAAAAGTCCAAAAGGAGAAATTACGGGGGTTCCTCAAACTGACTTCACTGGGAGCTGAGAAAGGGACTCGGGGAGGCAGGCGGGAGGCGGGAGGTCGCCCAAGTGGCTGCCCAGGCTGGGCCTGCGGATCCTGCCCAGGGAGGCTGAGCTCAGGAAGCAGGGGGAGACTGCTCCTACTGCCCGGAATACTCACACCCCTTCCCTTCCTTCCTCCCCACCCCAGGGAAGGGCATGGCCTTCCTCTCGGCAGGACACAGGCCAGTGTCCTGAGAGCATAGGACCCACGCTGTCTGCAGACAAGGCCTTGCGGTGTGCACAGCCAGAGCCCTGTCCATCTTCCGTGGGGTGCCGCCCCGCTCCCCTCCCCATCCCACCCTAGCCTCTGCCTAGGAAGTGGGGGTGGCCGAGCGCTTTGGGGAGGGGCTGGCCTCTTCTCCTGGTACACACTGCCCACGGCGGCTTTGGCTTCTGGCAAGTGGCATTCGAGCGTGGCATCTCCACTCTACCACAGCAGGCGAGCAGAGTACCGCCACCGAGCCTGGCTCCCGACGCCGGCCCACGCGGCCCCATCCTTCCTGGCCTCTCCTCCCTGAGCCTGAGCACACAGCCCCGGTGGTCAGGATTTCTACGGCTCCAGCTGGAAAGAGCCACGGCGGCCTCCCTCCCCGACCTGCAGGGGCCTGCGGGTAAGCCAGGGTGCCCCGGGTAAAGGGAGGCAGGCTGCAGAGCCAGACCGAGGTCCGCCCCTGCTGGTCTGGAGTCCAGAGTTCTTCTTTGGCAATATTCTGATGGACAGAACTGTGAGTTCAGTGTCTTTCGAAATTCCCTGCGGAGCCTAGCGCTGCTCTCTGACGCTGGAGCTGGACTCGACTGGCCTTTGCCCTTGGAGCAGAGAACTAGTCCATAGGCCCGGCCCAAGACCTC